TTTTAGTTTTTGTGGACAAAATATCGCCTAGATCACTCCTGCTCTATATACGTTTGTAAAGTTTTATTGCAATCGATTCAGCCATTCCGAAGATTAGCTGCGACAAATGAACAGACAGACAGACAGACAAAAATTAAAAAAAGTTTATTCATGTCTTAATCGCAAATAACCCCCTCTGTTGTATAGATATAACTAGATGTTTAATTTTTTTTAACTAAATATTGTCGCATAGTGTCTGCGTAGGAGAATATACCACCTCACATCATCAGATGAGTGTCAAAGAGATGACATAGGGCAATTGAAATAGATGATCTGCAGCTTCCTGATATCAGCTGAAATAAAATAATTAAAAATTAAAAAATTTGTACGACCGTCTTCAATATAAATTGTTAAGAATAACTCAAAAAATATTGGTCAGACCTTGATCAAATTTATATAGGACCACATGTGAAGCACCAGATTTTAAAATTGCGCAAAAAATTCAACAGCTAACCACTGACGCATTGTTTTGTGTATTAATATAATACTTTAGAAAATGATAAACTCTTATTAAAAACCAATTTCTCTAAAAACTTTACCTCAATGTCAGCTAGCGACATCTGGTGAGCAGAAAATTATTAGCCCTCATTGCTGTCCGTTAGTCTCGCAAAAACTAAAATGGCTGGACCGAATTTGATAAACATTTTGAAGTGAACATTTCTTTAGCCGCGTTGAACGATTTTGGTGAGGGGAACTTATGGGTTCGTGTCACCTGTGACCTCAACATGCTCGTGACGTATGTATAGCTTGCGCCAGTCTAGCGACGCGTAGTATAGCGGCCTGTGTACATGTATACGCATGTAATATCATTGAGTTTTCATTTCTGTTGGAATTCCTTATGGGTGCCTCTGTTTTTGTATTTTTTTTTATAGGATAGGGTGACAAACGAGCACACAGCCCACCTGATGGTAAGTGGTTGCTGTGGCCCATAGCGTTGTCACCCTGTGAGGACCAAGATGCCTCTTTTCCAGTAAAAGGGGTCTCCGGTTCTCTACACTCACCATACGAAACACAGCAGTGTTAAGCTGCTATTTTAAGCTGGTATTCTATGAGAGCGTGGTCCTTCCCCGGTCGAGCCGAACCATTCGTGCTACAACTACACTACTAATATAGCTGCAGCATGGCTCTATATGGCGTATATATTATATGTGTTTGAGTTGGTCTCTGGATGGTTTAGATTCACAACTGAACTCTGTGACTTCCCGATCTATGTTAAGTATATATTATAGCATATAAGTAAAAGTTTACTTACACGCAGTAAGTGAACTATTACTTATAGACTATAATGAAAGAATGAATAAACGAAAATAAGTAATGCTCTAGGCATGCACTTATGAATAATTTTTGTACCTTTATGGAGTATTCTACAGCACATAAATTTTCCCCTTTGTCATTGCTATACGCAATAATATGATTTATGTTGTTATTTGAATTATTATTTTTATTTTCATTTCCTTTTCTATGGCTCTGTCTCAGATTTAATTTGAAGATATAATATGGTTAGTATATACACGGACTCTGAAGATACTGTCATTGAGGAAGCCTTTACACTCAAACCAACGTTTTACTACGGAGTCATAACGCTCAGTATCAATGTGGTAAAGCCATATTTATATGTCTTTATCAGATTGTCCATAGTTCATTAACATTGTAGGTGATTTATATTTATTTGACATAGTTTATAGGAAGTTTAGAAAGTAATAAAATATATATATATATATATGAGTCTTAACTTACAAATCTGTAATATAAAAATGAATCGCTGAATGTGTCTAAGCGCAAATCTCGAGAGCAGCTGAACCGATTTCGCAAATTTTTTTATAATATTCCTTGAAATACGAAGATGGTTCTTACGGAGAGAAAAATTTAAAATATTGCCTGAAAAATTCTAAAAACAACACTTTTCTATATTCCTATACAAAAGATTCGTAATAATACTTAAAAGTCAATTTGAATTTTAATACCATACCATAAAGTTTAAGTGTTAGATGAGAGAATATCCTAATATTATATTAAAATATGTTGTTTACCATGCAACTCATAAAATTATTTACTATAATAGTATTCGAGAAAATTTAATGCTATTAACAATGGTACCCATAAACCCAAATGTACTCATACTATCCGATGAATGATCGTCAGCACACAGCAGAGTTAGACACTGACAAAATCACCATAAATATTGACATAAAATCCAGTCAGGTATTCTACTAAGCTTTCCATAAAGTAATGCTCCAAAAAACCAAAATTACATTCAATTTAAAATTTAACTCAGTGCTAATAACGTATTAAATCCGTGTTAACGTGGAGTTAAAATGAACATCTAGTGTTGTACGGCTAACGCTCGTTTAAAATACTCTGAATATTACTCTACAACACTTAATTAATATTCACATTTTCAAGTGACATCGCTTAAATGCAGCACATAGTGTATAAATAAAAAGCTGCGAAGATTTTACGGTACGCTAAAATTTGTTACTGTTTTCTCAATGTCTATATTTCATTGGATGTTATATTTACTTCGTATGTAGGTTGCAAAACAATTACTACATACATCCCAGTATCTTTTTCTGTTTCCAATAAGCACGCAACCTAGACGATGAAAAACAAGCAATAGATATTCGTACGACCGAAAAACATCTTACAATTAAAGAAAAACATTTCGTTTTTGTGGCTTATGTTGCAAGTTCACAAATAGATCGCCAATTACTTTTTTTACTAGCGCTATATTTTAGTTATTTATAGTATATTGATGTTCTTTGGTATTTAACATCTGGCATTACAAAGAGATGGCTATACATACATCGCCGTCTATCGAATACTACAATAGAGATATGCTTGGAAATTTGCGAGACCTTCTAAACAGAATGGTATAATTTCTTTATATGAAGTCATGAAGAGATGAATTTTAAAATTTACCATTATTTTACTTTAATTAATTAACTTGAAGTGCTATTGGAAAGTTAAGAAACGTAATATAATATTTTCATGTATGACTAATGAAAAGTGCTCGAGCTGTAATAAAAGCAGAATGACTACGGTTTCTTCTGTGGAAATAATAAAAACGATGTTATTATTCATATGTTTGTGAAAGACTTTCTTGGTTACTCCAAACCAAATAAAGAAAGTCTCATAATTACTTTACCAGGTATTAAGAATGCTTACCAATGCGCAGAATCAAATTGGTCTATTTTCTAAGACTATTGATTTATAACAATGAAATGGACCACACGTGGCTTTACCATTACGATACCGAAACAAAATTATAAAATATACAGTCTACGACTCGGAAAAGACCATTATTTCCAACTCTTAAAAATTCAAGGCGAGTTCTTCCGTCGGTGAGATCAAAGGCTTTTTCTAGTATAGTCAAGGCGTAGTAATGAATGAAGATTGAATATCTTGATCATGGAGCTACTGTTACGTGTACTGTACAAAAGCAGACAGTAATGGCGTTTACGAGGGGAGGCTGCTAGTTTGAATTCAAGCTAGAATCCTACCAAAGGTACTAACGTACAGTTTTTTAATATTAATTTTTAATTTTTGGTTCGATTTACGCAGAATGAGCTTTATTTATGCGTAAATCGAACCAAAAATTAATATTAAAAAACTGAAGGTAGCCGGGCTAACTATGACATCAGGACGTCAAACACCTCAGTCCCCCGTGACCACGGGTGTTGGAAAGCATCCGAAACGTCGGGAATATAAAATAATTTAATATACGCGATAAAATCCGTAAAATTAGTTTTATTTAAATGTGTAGTGTTCGCGTAAATATAAGAAATCATTATGTATTAAGCCACAATTTTTTTTTCTTAAGTGACTAACTGTCGCCAATTCCTCACTAAATCTTGACATAACGATATCGTTGGGGAGGATTCCAGCAAGGACGCAGTTTCATGGATGATGTAATCTGTAAGTGAAATTAAGAGAATTTAGAAGATAACCTAGGGCTGTCTCCCTGTTTAACCAAAATACATGTAAGCCTATTGGTGTTTTATTATTTGTTCATTTAATAATTTATAATTAAAAATTTTGTACAGCCGACTTCAATATAAGCGACTTCTATATAGGTTATTTAAGAATAACTCAATAACCATTGGTCTGACCTTGATCAAATTCATATGGGACCACACGAGAACTATCAGTTTTCATATAAAAATAGAATCATCGAAATCGGTTCGCCCAGTACAAAGTTATGAGGTAACACACATAAAAAAAATACATACAGCCGAATTGAGTACCGTCTCCTTTTTGGAAACGGCACTTATGAGATGATAGATTGTTATGAATTCTCCTACGGCACCACCGCATGGCGGGATTACCGTTACTTTACAGAAATCATCACCGTCATCATCACCTTGTAAAAGTCTATAGCTTGACAGACAGATTGGCAAACGCATTGTCAGCTACATCGCACCTTGGACGCTGCTGCCAGTTGCCGGTGCAAAAAACTAGATGGTTATATCATCTATCGAAGGCCATCAAAATTGTCCGCAATTTTGTTAGGTCGCTTGTTAAGATACTAACGGGACGAAATGGGGTGGTGGATATTCTTACTTACCAACAGCACATAACACGACGACGGTGTAATATTTAATCAGTAAATGTATAAACTATTTTATCAAGTTATACGTGAATTGATTAACATTTTTGTGTATATTACGTTGGCCTCATTAGTTTGTGGTATCCTCATGTCTAATTCATTTATTTTGGTGAATTCCACGAAATAAAATATGGCTGACAATACATTACAGCTTATTGAAAGTATTGCAAATATTTGAACATTTCCTTTAATATAGCTCACTTGAATGTTTTGTCGTAATACTGCTCTAAATTTCACTTATTACACTTTTTGATTATTTCTCAATTTCTTATACAATCTAGAACACACAGTCTAATGGAAGTAAGTGGATTCTGTGGCCCATAGATATTTAGATACATTTGTCTGCGGTTTAGAATCAAAATGTAGATGCGTTGTCAATTCTGAAAACTAAAAAGAAATGCCACTTTATCAGCAAAAGGTCTCCGATTCTCGAATAAGACTCCAGTAGAACTATCAGATACGTGAAGAGATGAAAAGAGGGGGCTGTGCTTAACAGTGGGATATATGTAGACTGTTACTTTACTATAATTAATAGAATCAGGCGATAATTAATAGAATCAGGCGTTAATTTGCGGAAATCCATTAAAATATGGTTGTTATAAGCTAATTTGCTTAATTCCGCGTAAAGAAAGTAAATGATGTGTCCTGCCCAGTTTTAAGGGGACCTCCCACCTTCTCTCCATTGCGCGCACTGTACCCGTCGCCGTCAATCTCAACACTATCTTCAGGTGAAGTAGACTCCGCGGAGGCTGGCCGCTAACTCACTTACTGGCGTCCGCAGCTAGTGACTTTATTTTTATTTCGTGCCAGGTGTCAATTTGCGACAGCCACAATTTACCAATATATAAACTGTGGGCTAATTTGTCACGCTTGGATAAAAAACTTATTCGTATTTATAAAACCATTATTATGTCTACACATAAAATATTGTCATTATTAAATAAAAGATAAAGAAAAAGAAGTAACTGTTGGTGAATGAATGAAAGTCCGGCTGTAAAACAGGGTAATCTAAGTTGGGAGGTCCGCAAAATGCTGTAATTGGGGTTCCCCGGCGTCTTTTTAGGATAAGGGTGACAAACGAGCACACATACCACCTGATGGTAAGTAGTTGCGGTAGCCCATAGACATCTACATCTATCCTCGATTAGGAATCATAATGCAGATGCGTTGTCACTCGTGATGACTAAGGTGGAATGCCTCTTTTCCAGTAAAGGTTCTCTACGATCACCATACGAAACACAGCAGCGTTAAGCTGCTATCTACGCTGGTATTCTGTGAGAGCGTGGTCCTTCCTCGGTCGAGCCGACCCATTCGTGCTACAACTATACCTACCAGTAATATAGCTGCAGCATGGCTCTACCACGTAAAAGTTATATATGTTACACTCCACTACGCAGCTCTTCAGGGTAAAAAATGAACTAAGTCACATCGCATTCCATCTGTCACCCCGAGACTAGAACTCCCCCCATGGGAGACGCGCCCCCACTTTGAAAACTACTGTCTATAATTAAAGAACTCAGGGCTTAAAATTATATCATTTGCAAGACCAAAGTACACGATTTCCGATGTCTTGGTCACCTAGAAAGTATGGGCGAAGTTTTACGTACAAACAGAGTAACGTTGTGGTAGACCGCTGGGTCTCAGATAGATCAACACGACTTGTAATCATGACGATTTTGTCGAGAAGGATCTGATGCGGGACACAAATGTCTATATGGCGTGACAAAATGACAAATGAAATATGGCAGGCACAATTTAGTTTTGGATACAAAAACAATTTAGGTCATTGTAGCAGCGAAATAAGTTTTGGTACGTTTTGATTATCTCGTGTAATATTGTATACAAATTTACCTCCGACATTTCGCTGGAGATTAGGATGAGTGTCACTGGGCGTACGCCGTACGTGTACACGTACATTTACGAAAAAACACCATTAAATCCAATGAAATTGTTTTCTGCGTTTACTGGCGTAACTGGCGTTTGTTGCTTCTTACGTGTTATTTGTTTTTTTTTTATACTAAGTACGAGTATTACAAAGGAAACGCATAATAAAAGGCAGTAAGCATAATCAGGATTTAAAAACACTTCTAGCAAATTATCGATTGGTAGGTTTTTTATTGTGTTAGTATTTTTTAGTAAATAAAAAAATTCCTTATTATATCACATTACAATAATTAACGGTAGGTATAGTAGAAAAAATAATATTTTTTTATAATTTATTAATAGCTTTTTTCCAATAAAGGCAATAAATCTTATGTTTTAATTGGAATTTCTCTTCTCGATAAAATGTCTATGCAAAACGTTGAGCCATAGAAATTTGAGTGAACTTTAAGTTTTTAGAAGATTTATGTATTGGAAAATATCAAGCAATTTCTTCCATCACGTTCCCTTTCTCACCATTTTTTTACGTGGTAGAGCCATGCTGCAGTTATATTACTGGTATAATAATAATAATAATAATAATAATAATAATAATAATGTCCTCCCGACCGAATTTCGGTCACGGCGGCCAGCCTCAACGGAGACTAGCCATCTGCGCAGGACAGGATTATAGTGCCCGAGTGTATGCGCAAGCACAGGTGCACTCTCTATTCCCTCACTCTCATAGTCCGATGGGACGGTAAACCGACACGACCGGAGAGAGATTAGGCGCAGGACCAACGGCTTAACGTGCTTTCCGAGGCACGGGGGTGAGACACCGCCAACTTCCTGACTCCGGGCAGCTACTGAGAATTTCTTGATAGAAAAACTCAATAACTGATTTTTTTGGCCCGACCCGGGATTCGAACCCGGGACCTCATGATCAGCAGTCGCACTACTACAACCACTAGACCAACGAGGCAACCTGGTATAGTTGTAGCACGAATGGGTCGACTCAATCGGGGAAGCACCACGCTCTCACAGAATACCAGCGTAAAATAGCAGCTTAACGCTGCTGTATTTCGTATGGTGAGAGTAGAGAAACTGATACACATCTTATCCCTCACGGCTGACAACGCATCTGCATTTTGATTCGTAATCCAGAATAGATGTAGATGTCTATGGGCCATACCACTTACCATCAGGTGGACTGTGTGTTATTTTATTACCCTTATCCTATAAGTAAGGTACGGCCAACCGCAAAATCCGCAATTTCTGATGTAGTAAAAATTCAATGGTTCTCACTTTCCTATCATAAAATACTTTCATCATTATCTTTGTATTGTACTTCTGGTATTTCTAAGGGAATTTTAAAATATGTTGAATTAGGTTAAAATAAAAGTTATATCCCTCTGTTGGATTAACGTCATCCCTTCATTGCTGACAGGATTTTTGAATCATCGTAGAGTCCATCTCTCTGCTCAGTGAGCGCGTAGGATAAATTCACATGTACTATTATTTAAAAATATTTTAAGTTTCTCAGACATGCACGTTTTCTTTCGATCGCTGTTTCCACTGCTAAACACGTCGAGCTAAAATGGTGAAAATAAATATGTACGGCTTGTAATAAAATTACAGCCTTGTCATTTCCTCTTGACTTGTATAGCCAGGGAATTGCCTTGTAAGTCTGCGATGAGTCGAGAAGAAGGCAAGTAATCTGCGAGAGTGCCGTGAAGCAGAGGCGAACAGTAAGGATCAGAGCCGTGCCGAGCACTGTAGCGCAGAGAGTAGCTTGAAGGAACAGGAAGCATTATTATTCCAGTGCTGTGATGAACCTTTGTAAAGCGGCTTGCAGAATGTGAAGACTGCAGACAATATCAGCTCGGGAGCGAATGAATGAGGTACTTTAGGATGACGAAGGTTTGAAGGTGTAGTTTCCGAAAGTTTTTGGTTGCGTGTTCATATCGCGTCGATTGGTCACCACTGTGGCGGGTGGAAGGAAAAGGGGAGATCTCCCGCCGGGTAAGGTGTTCTGCCCGGGGAGCGGCCAACGCTCCGAGTGGTAGTTCGGAGCTATTATATATATTATACTGCTTTAATTTCGGAACTTTGTTAGCGCGATTTAGGCTTCGATGTGTTTTGCTTGTGGCGCGACGATAGCGCCGCCACAATACTATTGTTACAAATAAAAAAGGTATCGCATGCCGCGTTGAAAATAGTATCAACAGATCAAGAAATGTAAGCGCTATCATTTGTCTCGGCCAAGACTGGCCGAGACAGATGATAGCGCGTGTGTTAATAAGACTATGGAGACCACAAAACACAATCTCTAAAACAATCACTACACTGCTATACGAGAAAATTCATACTATTTTAATAATAGTTTTAATTATTTATAAAACCTTATTTAAAAAATCCACGATCCGTGAACATTAAGTTCTATATACATAACAGCTGCAGAAAAATGCGTTTTCACAGCGTAAATTTACACGGATAATGTTTTTGCTTGTGTATATTTATAGGGAGTTTATCTTGTTTGCTCGGACACTCAGCCCGTTGTTACACTTGTTTATCATTTAAAGCCTCTTTTGTAATATTCACGCTGCTTTATTATTCCCCACATTTAACGCTTATTTTAAACTAACTGTTCCCCGCAAGTTCGCCCGCGTGTAATTTAGGGTTTTAATTTTGTTGCGCGGAACCCTAATTCTTTTTCTAAAATATAAGTAGCCTAAGTTACTCCTTATGAATTCTGCTATCTGCCAGTGAAAGTTCTGTCGAAATCGGTCCGGCAGTTTCGGAGATTAGCCCGAACAAACAGGCAGACAGACAGTCAGACAGAAAGACAGACAAAAATTTTAAAAATTGTGTTTTTGTTATAAGTACCGTATAAAATACTTTCATATGAATTTAGTGAAAAGCTGCTATTTTGACATTACAAATAGACACTTCAATTTTATTTATTTGTATAGATATAGATGTATAGATAAGCATATTCCTAAATTCAAAAGAACTCTAAACAATTTATATAGCAGCAGAATACAATGTTTTAAAAAAAAAATATTTACACGAATCAAAGTGAAGTGTTTAATAACGTTTAATATCCGACATTTAAAAGTTCATATAAAACTCGAAAAAGTCCACAAAACAATTATTCGATCGGCAGAAATGCTATAAAGTCATAATAATGGATAAACGATCCAAGCAATTTAAGTGTTACCTTTATATATTCATATTAAATTTCTTGTTATTAAATTACTATTCCTTTTATTGCAGCTCGTGGGGGTTCTGATTTTGTAGTGCGTTGTGACAACTGACCCAGTTCCGTCTCCAGAGTTGGTACCTTTATTGGACATTTCAACATCAGAACTTTTGCACTTTGCTACAAGAATTATCTATTTTAACTAGCTTTCTAACATTACAACTATTAGCTATCATTTTGGCTGATGGTAAATGTATACAGCAGCTCATGAACACCTGCAAACGATTGAGAACAAAGGAGGATACACATGTGTTTCAACCCTAACAACTATTTCAACTGACACTCTTACTGCTTGGAGGCAGAGACAATATTCGTAAAAAAATTTGACTGTCATAATATCACTATCTCTCCTTACCACGTTCTTCCTTTTTTTCGCGCACTTCTTCTATAGGGATTCTTAGGGACCTTCAAGAAAAGAGCCTACTCCTTTTTAAAAGGCCAGCAACACATCTGCAATTCCCCTTGTTCCCCTGGTGTTGCAGTTGTTCATGGGTGGCGGTAGTCACTTATAATCAGGTGAGCCGCATGCTCGTTTGCCCTCTCTCCCATAAAAAAATATCTACAAATTTTTATTCCTGCTCATTTGACTGGGTCCTATAGTAAACTTCACTGTTCATGTTACTACACTTCTTTGAAGGTCCTTGCTTCCTGACATGAGGAAGCACAGAATTAAATACCCTTTTAAAAAGCTAGTTCGTGAACCCCTATTAAAGATATTGTACCTGAGTAATCCAAGTATAACATACTCGTATATATTGACAAACAGACGTACGCATTTATAATATAAATATGTATTTGGAACTAAATATGTTTGTGTAACTAATATTTTTGTATGATTCATTTATGTGTAATACGTTCAAAATATTTTTTATACGTGGTAGAGCCATGCTGCAGCTATATTAGTAGTATAGTTGTAGCACAAATGGGTCGGCTCGACCGGGGAAGGACCACGCTCTCACAGAATACCAGCGTAAAATAGCATCTTAACAGTGCTGTGTTTCGTATGGTGAGTGTAGAGAACCGGAGACTCTTTTTACTGGAAATGAGGCATTCCATCTTAGTCCTCACGGGTGACAACGCATCTGAATTTTAATTTGTGATAAAGGATAGATGTAGATGTCTATGGGCCACAGCAACCACTTACCATCAGGTGGACTGTGTGCTCGTTTGTCACCCATATCCTATAAAAAAAATATAACTCTGCAAAGCATTCTTCTTTTTTTGTAGCACTCGCCGACGTTGGTTTTTATCGTACAGAGATATGGCTTCATTAAAACAATACCCTATCCTAGTCTTCTTGAGTCTATGACACACAATTTTGAGCAAAGTTAAGCCTGGGAAGTCGGTGCCCACGGAGTAATTTAACCCCGCGGGCTGGACGATGACTACGTATATTGACAGCGAGAAGCCTCCTCCTGACCGTCCATAGTTTGCACAATTCTTTATTCGTTCGGTCCACATACGAAGATTTGCGATTTCTCAACGCTTGATTTACCAGAAAACGATCGTCACTTGTTGGCGCTGCCAGGTCTCTTAGACTGTCGAACGACTCACATTTAGCTCCTGAGCCACGAAGCATTGGATGCAACCCTCCTCAAGCAGCGCAATGATTTTGCTGACTTTAATCACTTTATCTACCATTTACCAGGCCGCTAAACAGTAATAACAATAACTCATAATATCAGGGAAATGAGATAATTCAATAAAAATGGACTAAAAATGATTTAAGAGTCGATATTTACTTTCGGGAGTTCGCGCCACAAAATGTAATAAAAAGTTGTTTTCTTTAAAAACCAACCTCATGCAAAAATTTTATTTGGAATGTAATTTTTTAAACACCACGGCACTTTTATAACCGGCCACTAACATGAATGAATTGCCATGTAGTGGCGGTCAAGAATATCCATTACCCCATATCTTACCGTGGGTGTCGTAAAAGGCGACAAAGGGAAACAGGCAGGAGATGGGCAGCAGCATCTTCTTGATAATAGCCGAAATTACAATAAAAAAAAACTGCAGTTGCCAACCCGCTCGCCAAGCGTGGCAACTATGGCAAATACCCCCCTATGAAGAGTGTAACAAAGAGACGGCCCCCAGTCCCCGGCAGCCTCGCTATTCCTGGCTACGGTGGCAACCATGGTAACGGCGGGGCAGGGGGTGCTTAGAATCTCTGGTGGAGGTTCGGTTGCCACCTAAGACGACTCGACCTGGCAACATACAACGGACGCACTCTGAGGACTGACGAGAAGATTGTGGAGCTGGAAGAAGAGATAGATAAGTTACGCTGGCATATTATAGGATTATACGAAGTCCGAAGAGAGGGGGAGGACATGGTAATCCTCGAATCCGGCAACCTGCTCTATCACCGGGAGGGCGACCATCTGTCCCAAGGAGGTATCGGATTTACCGTCCACAAGTCTCTCGTTAACAACGTTGTATAGATTGAGAGTGTGTCGACGAGGGTTGCGTACCTTATACTCAGAATCACCAAATGGTATTCGCTCAAGGTCATACAGGTTTACGTACCAACCTCGGCACACTCCGATGAGGAGGTGGAGGAAATGTTTGAGGATATCTCTAAAGCCATGCATTCCTCCAAAACCAAATATACGGTGTTAATGGGAGACTTCAATGCAAAACTAGGCACAAGAGAGAACGGTGAGCTAAAAGTAGGGAAATTTGGAATAGGTCAACGAAACCCAAGGGGCCAGCAGCTGGCCGACTTCATGGGGAAAGACGGACTCTTTATGATGAACTCTTTTTTCCAGAAGTGGCCCCACAGGAAGTGGACCTGGTCGAGCCCCGACGGTTCGACAAAAAATGAGATTGACTTCATTATGACGACCAGACGACAACTGTTCAGTGATGTCTCCGTGATCGCGAGGGTGAAAACTGGTAGCGATCACCGATCACTCGTCTAATGAAGTCAATGCACCGCCCCCCTCGTGCTCGTGCCCCCTCGTCGGAGCTAAGTTCTGCAAGACCCGTAGAGCCGCGTTGCAGCTATGTTATGATTGGAGTACGAATGGTTCAACTTGATCAGGGAATAACTGAAATAACAGAATACCCGTAAAATAGCAGCATTTCGTTTGCTGCCTTATCTGACTTTGCTGTTTTATCTTAGTCTTCAGAGAAGACAACGCCTACATTTTAAGTTTTAATTGAGGGAAATGTAGGTGTCTATAGCGCACAGCATCCACTTACTATCCGGTGGACTGTGTGCTCGTTTGCCAACCTTATTCTATAAAAAAGATCAGTATTAAGCTATTTCTGAAATGTAATTTTATATGAAAAAGAATCAACGCTGTTGAATTAGTTCTTCTGCGAAGAGATATTTTCGAACAAGCGGTAAAGTTTAGAAATGTCATTCTGCCTGAAAAATCAGTTCATTTAAAGTTTATATCAAGTTTCTTTTTGATGAGTTAGGTAAATAAAGGTTTCTAACTGCAAATGAAAGTTGTTACTAACATTTTTTTCCCAGCTACATTCAATTTATGAATTTCTTATATATTTTTGTAGGATGAAAATTTTATAGAGTTTAA